TTGAAAAAAGTTGCTTAGCTTAAAAAGTAGCTCTTACCTATTTAGTGTACTGTCATTATGCAACTTATTTCCAACTCTGACTTCTAAAAAAACATTTTTTTGGAACTTGCTTACTTACTAACCTTACTCAAACATGCTAATTGCTAAAATTGTCTTGCTGTTGCTGCCAAAGTATTGTTTATTTCAACTTTGTATTTGCGAGTTTTGTTAGGTCGATTAGAAGGAAAAGAGGAGAGGTCTTAACTTCAATTCTTGCTTGAGAATTTTACAAGGAAAAAGTATAGAAAAGTAAATTGGAATATAAGATCTTCGGGTAGACAACCAATTATAAATACTTACAGCTTTATTTTTGTGTGCGTTGCTTCATGCATATATATAATGAAATGATCTATGAAGTACCACTAAACACTGATGACCTTGTACATAAATCTATTGATGAATAAATATGGTGGTATTTGAATTAAATTTGTTATCACCTATAGATTGATGTGTCACGTTAATAGTGCTTAGCATAAGATGAACACTAGTGCTCTTTAAATCATTTCTATCTCTTTCTCCTCTCAACATATTAAAGGAGCACCTATGTTCATTTATGCTAAGCCATGGTACATACACACACACAGAGATGGAGAAATGATCTTATTAATCTTATGCTAAGTACTAGTAACACGGCACATCAATTCACTGATGAATAACAAATTTATTTCAATCATTAAATCATCTCTTATATATATATATATATATATATATATATATATATAGACACACACACACACACACACATGCGCACACACACACACAGAGAAATTGAAACTAACTAGCCTCTGTTTCCAAGCCGTTAACTTATATACTATACAATTTGTGAGTGCTTAAACCCATTTTATCCCTTATGACTTTCTGTTGCGTCCCAAGAATTCAAAACCTATGACATTTTCCTTAAGAGGATAGTACTTAAAGGGTAAAATGGGTTTAGAAACTCTGAAAATGGATAGTACGTAAGTTAACAGCTTTGTTACAAAAAAAATGTACATTTTTTATAACAATCCGACCTCTATGCCCAAACTGTTAACTTACGTATTACCCACTATGAGATAGCTTAGCCCATCTTACCCCTCACGGCCTTATGTCGCGTCTTCAGATTTTGAATACATCACTTTTCCATAATAAAGACTTAAATTGAATCCTATTAATCAATTGGACCACCTGCTGTACCAAGATTCAACATAAGTCTATCTAAAGGAAAATGTTATGGATTTGAATTCTGAGACTCGATAAGAAGTCATGAGAGGTAAGATGGATTTAAACTCTTCAAAAGTGGACTGTACGTAAGTGAACGACTTGAACACAGATATGAATCGTTACAGAAATAGTCTCTTAAGTACGAGTGCTTAGCTTAAGCACTGATGATATGACAAACAATTAATTGGTAGATAATTTAATTCTTGACACCAACCATACAAAAAAGGCCTTTATCTTCCGGTTTATTGATAAGTATTTTGAATTTGAAATTGTCGTGATTTTCATTGATATTCATTAAATAAGAATCTTCATAAACTGGGCTATTTTTAGAGCATGTCTCTGTTAATCGAAAGTTGAAAGACTCTACTGAGACAAAGATGGGCTATCGAGAACGTAGAGGAGGTAGGATGGGCAGTTGGTCAGATCTAGTATGGAGGGCCCGCATAAGCGGTGGAGCATGTGGTTTAATTCGATGCGAAGCGAAGAACCTTACTAGGGTTTGACATGCCGCGAATCCTCTGGTTAATCTAGAACCGAAAGTACAATCCTTGAATCTCTGAAATTGTATAAGTGGAAATTAGTTTCTTATCATTCAATAAGCATCTTGTATTTCATAAAAATTAAGGGCAATATAATCATTACGTAAGGGCCATCCTATCCAACTTCAAGATCCCTCTTACTAACTGGAATCAAAGATATATATATATATATAGGTGGAAAATTTTATGGTTGGTATCAAGAATTAAATTATCTACCAATTAATTGTATGTCATGTCATCAGTGCTTAAGCTAAGCACTCGTACTTAAGAGACTATTTCTGTAACGATCCATATCTGTGTCCAAGTCGTTAACTTACATACAGTTCACTTTTGGAGAGTTTAAGTTCATCTTACCTCTCATGATTTATTATCGAGTCTCAGGATTATATATATGTATATATGTATGTATAGATCTTTCGTCGTAGAATTATAAGATCAGAATCAGAATCTATAGTTCTCACATGGTGTTATTGTTTCAGAAACTTTATGCAGTTAGTTTTCTCTGGAGAAGATAGTGGGAGAGTGCTCAAGTACAATCCGAAGACAGAAGAAACTACTGTTCTTGTTCGGAATCTCCAGTTTCCAAATGGTGTCTCCCTAAGTAAAGACGGATCGTTCCTTGTATTCTGTGAGAGTTCCATTGGCAGGTATGAATCTATCTTTGATACAAAAGCTGTGCATGCAATCCTTAGGACCGCATTCTTTATAATTTTTTCATGGTAGTTGCTAGAAGAAATCCTTAATTTTTCAGTGCTTTTTCCTGGTATTTATGCATACGTCTCAAACAGCAAGTAATGTGTTCTTGAATTACTCCTGTTAGGGACTTTCCTCTTAATAGTCACAGACAATGCCTTGAACATAGGTTCTAGGTATAAATTCAATGAGTCTCTTCACGACCTAAAATGGAAATGACACCAAAATTTTCTATTATTATAGTGGTAAATTTTGCTGTGAAGCTTGTTTAAAAGAAAAGAACGAAAGTGGGTTACGTCTAGATAATAGCATTTAATAACATGTTTGGTGTGAAAGAGTAGATAGCAATGGACAATACTATGGGAGAAGTTAGAATTTTATTTGTTATACTATTCTGTCATGTTCAATATTGTGTAAACGTGTACTGACGGTACTAAAACTCCTCCTCCAATTGTGTAGGTTGCGAAAGTACTGGTTGAAAGGCGAAAAGGTTGGGACCTCTGAAGTAATGGCCGTGTTGCCTGGATTTCCTGATAACGTCAGAACAAATGAAAATGGTGAATTTTGGGTTGCAATCCACTGTCGTCGATCTCTATACACTTATTTATCCTCTATATACCCGAAAGCCCGGAAATTCTTGCTAAAGCTTCCGATAGCTGCAAAGATCCATTACCTCGTGCAAATTGGAGGGCGCCCTCATGCCGTGGTTGTGAAGTATAGTCCAGAAGGTAAGCTTCTAAAAATTTTGGAGGACAGACAAGGGAAAGTTGTTAAAGCAGTAAGTGAAGTGGAGGAGAAGAATGGGAAGCTTTGGATTGGGAGTGTTTTGATGCCATTTATTGCAGTTTATGAATTAGACTAAGTGTTTTAGATTATAAGACTTTCTTAATTTCTTGTGTTTGGGGTAAAGCCCATATGCTTTTTGTAGTTAATTTTCCACACTTTTCTTGAACTTTCTAGGGGTAATTGAACGAGTCCCTCATGAATGTAATGAAAACCTATTTGTGGTATGTGTAATGTCAAGAGCTTCGTGTAACTTATCCAAGCATTTTTTGTTCGGTGTTTAGACTAGATAAGATTAAAGAAAAAAATGTATTCCTCGCACTTGTTTTTGAACTTTGGGGGTACTTGGATGAGTCCCTCACGAATGTAGTGAAATCCTATTGTAGCCTGAGTAATGTCAAGAATTCCATTTATTTGTTCGTGCATGTTAGGCTATAAAAAATATTAAGTGTTTTTTCATAAAACTTCATTAAAATTTTATCAACTTTTTAGCACGTCAAATTTCAATTTTAACGACACATTGCATGACATATCCATGAATTTCATTAACTTTTTAATCACAATGCGCCAACTTTTATCAAATTTTGTTAAATTTTTTGTATAAAAAACTTTGTCAAACAATCCGTAAACTAGAAATATATTTTCACACTTCTATTATGACTGTGTTTTTGTGTACCTGAATTGATTCCTCGTGAATGTAGATAAAACTATTGTAGCATATGTAATGTCAAGAATTCCGTCTAATTTCTTTGGACTCAATTAAGATTAAGGGAAAAAAATGTACTGGGGTCAATTTTTGGGTATTAGAGAACATATTGTAGCTTGTATAACTTAAAGATTTTCATCTACTTTTATTGGAAAATGTTTTATTTGGTGCACGCAACCAAATGATTTTGAATAACATATTATATGGAAAAAACGGGTACATCGTTTGTTCATCTTTTTATCATTATTTTAGCTTGTTAAACATGTCATATGTTTGCATCCATATCTCGATCACCTCGAACCCATCACAAATTAAGAAGGGTGGGCTAATGAATAGTATCAACCACCTCAAATAAGGCGGACCACAAGTTCAACCAAGTGCTACTGTCATCTAGGAAAAAGAGATATATTTGACATCAGCACCCTTCATTTTCAAATGAGTTACAATTACCTAGATGACAGGTAATCATATTCTAAGTCACAACTACAACCTGAATAATATAATGAGTTGCATGATTGAGCTCAATAGCCCATTAAAATCCTTCAATCAAGATGATGGCACCTGATTAGAAGTTGATGAGATATAAGACGATCAATTGCTTGTTATAAGGCCTATAAGTAGGGGTAATAATTCCCTATAGAAGGCCGAATTCAACGAAATCAGGTAATATATTTTAAAATTGTTACGAATGAGAATTATCCCTTAATTTTCACAAATTCCGGCAATTACTCCATAAAAAATATCTTAAGTAGATCTAAACTTGTCTTATTATTTTTAATCATCAACATCTTATGACAAGTGTTTTGCATAAAAAAAAGTCTTTCACTTCGTTAAAAATCATATTTACCCATCATTAACAAAAACTAATTAAAAAGAGAAGACACGTAAAAACATATGTTAAATTGTTTGTCAAACGTGGAATATGTCATGTCATAAGTAGAAACTAGGATAATTTAACCAAGTTTCCAACAATTTTACAAGTTATGCTAGGGATGGTTTGATTGTGATTATGAAATTTTCACAAAAAAAGAAAAATTCTAAGCAATTCAATTGTTTAGAACTTATAATGTCTGATTGATTTAGTTTTCGATCTAAAATATATTATACTTATCAATTTGTTTATTAATGAATAGATGAGAAATAGAAAGAGAGAGTGGATTCCTATGAAAATAAAATCATAATCTTCTTAAAGAAAATATTTTTCTTAATTTAGAGGAAAATGTGATCATGTGATTAGAAATAGAAAAATATTTTTCATGAAAAAATGTCAATCAAATAGCACAAAAATAAAAATTTAGATAAAAAAAATATTTTTCATGAAAAATATTAACAATTAAATACACCTTAACTAATTTTATCAGAATTTTACCAAATCAACACTTAACAACATTTCGTAAAACATTTTCAAACCATCCAATCACAATTTGTTAACTCATTTTGATAATCTGATTCGGGTAA